TGATGGTGATGATGATGGTGTCCGTTGATGATGATGATGCTGATGTTGTTGATGATGATGGTGTTCCGATGCTGTTGATGATGGTGATGATCATGATGGTGGTGACGATGGTGATGGTGTTCCGATGGTGATGATGATGTTGAGGATGATGATGTTGATAATGGTGATGATGACGATGCTGGTGTTGCGATGATGATGATGTTGGTGATGAGGATGATGATGAGGTGATGATGATGGTTTCGATGATGGTGTCCCAATGATGATGATGCTGATGTTGATGATGATGATGATGATGTTGTTCCGATGATGTTGATGATGATGGTGATGATGATGGTGACGGTGGTGACGATGATGATGGTGTTCCGATGGTGATGATGATGTCGAGGATGAGGATGATGATGTTGATAATGTTGATGATGATGATGATGATGGTGGTGACTCGGTGATGATGATGATGATGAAATTGTCGATGATGTTGGTCATTCTCATGATGATGAGATGATGATGGTGGTGGTGTTCCGATGATGATGGCGATGGTATCCAGATGATGATGATGTTGATGATGATGATGGTGACGATGAAGGTGTCCCGATGATGATGATGATGTTGATGATTATGACTGTGATGGTGTTGATGATGATGATGATGTTTATGACGATGGTGATGATGCGGTGATGATGATGATGATGGTGTCCGTATGATGGTCATGATTATGATGATGTTGATGACGATGATGTTGATGAGTATGATGCTGATGACGTTGATTGTGATATCGATTGTGATATCGATAGTGAGGTCGATAGTAAGACCGAATGTGAGATCGATTGTGGGATCGATAGTGAGATCGATCGTGGGATCGGTTGTGAGATCGATAGTCAGATCGGTTGTGAGATCGATCGAATGAAATAGATCGAGTGAGATCGATTGTGAGATCGATCGAGTGAGATCGATCGAACGAGACCGCTAGTGAGATCGATCGTGAGATCAATCGTGGTACAGATCGAGTGAGACGTTGGTTCCTCCCCCCCCGAACCTCCTTATCATCCGAAGGGTGGTCGTATAGGTATACATATACACATATATGAATATATACATACATATGTATATACATATACATCGGAGGTGAGAGGGTGATATCAAAGTGGAACGGAGAGCCCCCCTACCGGGAAATCGGTTTCGGTTTCGTGTTCGTGCGTGCCGTGCGTGCGGGCGAGGCGAAGCTGCGTGGGCGGGCGAGGAATAAGTCTCCTGTAGCCGAGGCGCGGCCGGAGCAAAAGCCTCCGTTCCCGCAACCGATGCCCCGCGGTGTCCCGCCGGTGTCCCGCTCGGGGGCCGGTGGCGCGCGGTGTCCCGCCGGTGTCCCGCTGGTGTCCCGTCGGTGTCTCGATGATGATGATGATGTTGATGATGATGATGATGTTGATGATGTTGACGATGATGATGATGATGATGGTGATGGTGGTGATGATGATGGTGCCCCGATGATGATAATGTTGATGATGATGTTGCTGATGATGATGGTGCCCCGACGATGGTGATGTTGATGATCATGATGTCGTTGATGATGATCATATGATTTGGTGATGATAATGAAGATTATGATGATGGTGTCCCAATGATGATGTGGTTGATGGTGATGCTGTTGATGATGATGGTGATGATGGTGGTGTCCCGATGATGATGCTGACGATGATGGTGTCCCGATGGTGATGCTGATGTTGATGATGAGGATGATGATGAGGTGATGGTGATGATTTTGATGATTGTGGCCCAATGGTTTTGATGATGATGATGATGATGATGCTGTTGATGATGATGTTGTCCCGATGATGTTGTTGATGATGATGATGGTGACGCTGATGATGGTGTTCCGATGGTGGTGATGACGATGATGATGATGATGATGATGTTGCGCATGATGATGATGGTGTCCTGGTGATGATGATGATGATGTTGATGACATTGTTCATGTTCATGATCATGAGATGATGATGGTGGTGTTCCGATGATGATGGTGTCCTGATGATGATGATTGTGATGATGATGGTGACGATGATTGTGTCCCGATGATGATGATGCTGGTGATGATGTTGATGATGATGGTTTTGATGATGATGATGGTGTCCCGACGATGCTGATGATGATGCTGATGACGATGATGTTGATGATGATGACGTTGATTGTGGTATCGTTTGTGATATCGATAGTGAGATCGATAGTTAGACCAAATGTGAGATCGATTGAGAGATCGATGGTGAGATCGATCGTGAGATCGATTGTGAGATCGATAGTCAGATCGATTGTGCGATCGATCGAATGAAATAGATCGAGTGAGATCGATTGTGAGATCGATCGAGTGAGATCGATCGAGCGAGACCGATAGTGAGATCGATCGTGAGATCGATAGTGAGACCGATCGAGTGAGACGTTGGTTCCTCCCCCCCGAACCTCCTTATCACCCGAAGGGTGGTCGTATAGTTATTATTTATATATATATATATATATACATATACATATATATATATAGAGATATATCGGGGGCGGCGAAGAGGGGGGTGATGACTAGGGGGGTGTGGAGGTGTGGATATCATGGCGGGGGCCGTGATATCTCCACAGATTTCATGGCGCCTCTTCTTATTCCAATGCGTCCCCGACCCTCCCTGGGCCGCGCAAGTGCCGCCGGCCATGATTTGCCCCCCCCCCCCCCCCTCTTGGAACCCCCCCCTCTTGGACGCCCCCGAATCTATATACATATAAAGAGAGAGCGAGAGAGAAAGAAAGAAAGATGAACAGCATCACATAACCTGCACAAGCCATCTTGTGCGGCATAGCTTGCACCACGCTTCTTGTACTACGTAGCCTGCGCCACGTAGACTGCACCGCACAGTTTGCACCACATCGACTGCACCACAGAGGCTGCACTCCAGATAGCACGCATCCGGAGTGCAATGGCACCCTGTTCGGGGCCCACGCTGGCAAGCATGTTGGTAGGGCTAACGGCAGCGAAGCAGTGCGACGTGCGACGGTTTGTTGTGAGCAGTAACTGGTTGCCACTCCCACTGTACATCTACACTCCCATCATCCTCTCCCGCCAGGCTGTCATGTTTCTCATCACTGGTGGGTTCAAAGGGCCACCGAGGCGCCGGGAAACCGCTGCGTATCAGTTACTTGCCCCAGCAAGCCAGAATCCATCGATGGGCAAGGCAGGCCAGGCAAGATGTGTTCACCGCACCTTCGGCAAAAAGACTAAGGTGAAGAGCGCTGGCAAGGCATCCAAGGCCGCCACCCCGCCCAAGCTGAAGAAGGGCCTCGTGGCCGGCTCGGTGCTCATCCTGCTCGCGGGCAGGTTCCGCGGCCGCCGCGTGGTGTTCCTGAAGCAGCTCGAGAGCGGGCTCCTTCTGGTGACGGGCCCCTACGCTATCAACGGGGTGCCCCTCAGGCGCGTCAACCAGCGGTTTTGTATCGCGACCAGCGCCAAGGTGGACCTCAAGGGGGCAGACTATTCGAAAATCGATGACGTCTACTTCACCAAGGAGGCGAGCAAGAAAAAGTCCGCGGCGATGTTCGCCGCTGACGCCGAGAAGAAGGGTATCTCCGATGAGAAGAAGGCAGGGCAAAAAGGCATGGACGACAAGGTGGTGAAGGGCCTAGCGGCCGACATGAAGGCCTACCTGAAGGCCAGGTTCTCTCTGTCAGATAAGATGTACCCGCATGAGCTGAAGTTCTGAGTGGTCCAGGCCACGCTGCGTGGGCTACCGGGCCTGCTACCAAGGAGGGGCAAGGGTGATGGAAGATCGCTACGCGCGGAAAAAAAAACAAGTCGTTTGAAGTTGCTCTGCTGGCTGAGCCTGTAATGACATCTTGGAGGTCGAGCGTGGTAGAACAGCAATAACACAAACGTTTTGCCAGTCCTAGACGCTTCGCGTGACCCTACCAGCCCATCCACAAACGGTGCCCAGGCGAGTTGCAGTAGAAGAACATGCAGTGGAATAGCGGGCTGGGGCAGCTGTCATACCCCACGAGAGGGAGGAGGAGAAGGACGAAGAGGAGGAGAAGGAAGAGGACGAGGAGGCAGGGGAGGAAGAGCAGGAGGAGGAGGAGGAAGAGCAGGAGAAGGAGGAGGAGGAGGAGGAGGAGGAGGAGGAGGGAGGAGGGGAGGAGGAGAGGAGGGAGGAGGGAGGAGGGAGGAGGGCGAGGAGGAGGAAGAGGAAGAGGAGGAAGAGGAGGAGGGGGGGCAAAGGGAGGAGGGAGGAGGAGGAGAAGGAGGAGGAGGAGGAGAAAGAAGAGGAGGAGGAGGAGGAGGTCCAGGCAGAGGAGGAGGAACAAGCGGAGGAGAAGGAGGAGGAGGAGGGCAAGCATAATGGCCAGAGGCCTCTTAGATGCCGCTCGGAGTGAGTCTCTTCGGATGTATCTTGAGAGTTTCTTGGAGTCCCCTTGGAGCATCTTGTGGGCCTCTTAGCTGTCTTGGGGGCATATTGGAGCGTATTGGGTGCCTTGGGGGCACCTCTTGGAGTCTCTTGGGGTTATCTTGAGAGCCTCTTGGGGATCTCTTGGGGGCCTCTTGAGGCCTCTTGGGCCGGGGCCCTCTTGGGGCACTCTTGGGAGCCTCGGGGGCCATCTTGGGGCCATCTTGGAGATGATCGATGAAAGACGGGGGGATAGTTGGTGTGACCCCTCCCAAGGACGCCAAAATTAGCAATCCAAGTCAAACCAATGATTTGTGACTTCTCGCCGAGGCCGTCTTGGACGCTCCAATCGGTCGCGAACCCACGAGCAGTCGAGATGTAATCGCTTCATCTGCGTAGACGATGGGACCCACAGGAGGCCAGGCAGTCGGAGCCCGATAAAGCCACCGAGGAGTGCGGCAGGCAGGGCAAGTGCCCAACGCAGATGAAATGGACTCAGAAGTGCACGCGCCGCCTGGGGAGCATGCGAATCCAAGCCACAGGAGTCCGAGTAATCGCCGGACAGGGCGTCACCTAGGACCAGCGTGGATGGAGGAGCTTAATTCGAAGGCGAAGTCATGGGAGTCCAAGCAGCCACCGATTGCGGCACCCATGGCCAGCTCCTCAGAGCCCAAGTAAGAGCCAGAGATGCAAGCATGGCTTGGGGACCATGTTGCAGCCAGTGCATGTGTCAACGGCATCTAGGGGGCATCAGGCGTGGACGCGTTTGTTCCGAAGTGGTGGCGCGCGGGATCCACAGTGGCTTGCTCGTGGACCCTCAGTTGTTTCGGAGCCTGTCTAATTCCTGCCCGACGGCTCCATGGCTGCAGGGAGGTCGATTCCTTAGCGCTCACGTCTGAGCGGGGTGAGGCCCTTAGCCACTTTGGTCCAAGGGGTCGGGGTGCCGCGGGGCGTGCGCCGCCCAGGCCGCTTCGCGGGCGCGGTCGCGGCGCCATGACCACCCGCACTCCCGCGGTGCCGGACGATTTCCCACACTTTCTGGCGTGGTATGGGCAAGTGCCCAGCTTTGACCACGCCAGGGTGCGGAGCAAGGAGTTCCACTGCCGCGACCACGTCTTCCACATCCGGCAGCTGGTGGATGCGCGGTACTACCTGAACTGGCATTATGCCGACGCGGGCACATACGGCGTCTCGGCGTACTTCAACGCCGCGGAGGATTGGCTACGTTGCCGGCGAATACGCGCCATGGACCCGTCGGACAGGCCCCACGCGTTGCGAGAGTGGTTCCTCGAGAAGTATCAGGTCAACAATGTGTGGCAGTACCGCGAGCCGCCTCCCGAGATAGGCAAGCACGAGCTGCTCTGACACCTGCGTCACCAGCACAGTCCAGCAATAGACCAGCCGCTCTCTGGCCAGAGCCTTGTGCAGCGCGGTGCGTGGCGCGGCCTGCTGTTATAGGGCGGCGTAACCGCTGGAAGTGAAAAGGAGTGCTGTGCTCAGATAGCGTGTTCCTCGGAGCCGACTCTCAGTAGGGATCGAAGGTACGCCGCGGCGGAAATCATATCACAATAATGCGAAAGACCGAGCCCAGATACCAGAAAACTGCAGTAAGTCGATTCAGCCTAGCTGGGGGTATGCTGCATACAATGTCACGCGAAAGCACACAATCGCATCTCCCCGAAGCTAACCATGACAAATTGATAGCAGGCTAGCTAACGTAAATCAGCGCTAACCCTAGCCCGGTACAGTGCACGATGCTCCCATGGCAGTACGAAAGTAAACATGTACATGCTAAGAGTAGGGGAAGCTAAACCCGCGCTACAGCTAAGCTTACACATGGTCGGGAGCCCATGCTATGTCAGAGGGTAACTGTGGAGTTGAGGTCGAGCGAACAAACAATCTGGAAGTCAATCTACAGATAAGCAGCTGCTTCGGATATTTAGTTCAGGTAAAATGATGTTCGATCATCGTTCGCGGCATGACTTTACGAGCGACGATCACGAGAGTAGCGACGGTGTCAACGCGCACACTCAGAAGAGCGTCTGGCCCGAAGCAAAACTTAACCGTCTGGCCTGTGAAAGCTTCTGAGGGCATCCTGATTGGCGTAGATGGTTGGTTAGACAACGGAGTGGGGTGTGGCTTAATAAATAGTCATCGTAGGGAAGCTTGAGCTTGATGTGCTAGCTTCTAGGTCAGATTTCAGGGCTTGCTTTGCTTACCCAGTCCTGTATTACCAAAGGCGGCTTTTAATATTTGGTGTCGGGGGCTAGTCATCATCAAAAAGAAGCATGACAAGGGCAGCAAACTTGCAGTCTATCACATCCCTCGCGGTCGCACGCCGCGCAGGAGCCCTCTAACGTGGATTGACGTATGCTGGGGATCTCCAAGGGCCGGGCAGCAACAATCTTGGCGTGCTTTCCCTCGCCACCTAAGTCGATACAGCCGAGGCTGGTTAGTAGGTCGACACTGCCACGTCAAGGGTACCGTTGTGCCTTATGTTTCGCGAACCATGCCTTCTACATTCCTATGGCAATGTGAGGCGTGGGCGAAAAGTCTAATGGCCAGCTTCCCTCATGCTATTTCGAGTGAAGCGGCCCCAGGGCGGCACCAATAGCCCGATTCCTCATATGTTTCGAATCACGGGCCCCAAGACGGCCCAAGAAGGCCCCACAACGGCCCCAGAGGTCACCAGTACGGCCCCAAGAGAGCCCCAAGAGGGCCCAACGAGGCTCCCAAGAGGGCCGCAAGAGGCCCCAAGGAAAGCTCCCAAGACGGCCGAAGGCTTCCAAGACTGCCCAGGAGGGCTCCGAGACGCCCGAAGAGTCATCCAAGAGGCTTCCAAGAGGGCTCACAGATGCGAACTCATTGATTTGTTTATGATGTGGGGTAGATTTCGATGTTCCCACCTCTTCGAGCCCAGAACGGCCCAAGAGGCTCCAAAGATCGTCCCAAGACGGCCCACGGGCCTCCAAAAATTGCCCCAAAACGGTCCAAGAGGGCCCCAGAGGCCCCCAAGCGAGCCCCAAGACGGCCACAGGCCTCCAAGACGCCCCAAGACGGCCCACAAGGGCCCCACGACGGCCCAAAAGGGCCCCAAGACGGTCCAGTGGGCATCAAAGGGCCCCGAAAAGACACCCAAGAAGGCCCAGAGACGCCAAGGAATACCATGGCTCCCAACAGCGAGCGGTTACATGACAAGCTCTGAACCGCACGGCTCCCCAGAGCGCGGAGACGTAAAAGGCTCTGAATAGCAAGGCTCCCAAGAGCGAGCGGCAATGTAACAGTCTCTGAAAACCAGGGCTCCCACCATAGAGCGGTGAAGGAACAAGCTCTCAACACCAAGGTTCTTTGTAGTGTGGACTTGTTTGGGAATCCCAGCGTTATCCCCGCGTGTCCTTGCAAGTGGTTCCAACATCGATGTAACATTGAGTACATACACATCGGTGGGGCTCTGGCCGCACCGCCGAAACGAGCCTCCCAGGATGGCGCCTTCAGGAACATGTTATGTAAGTATTTATTGTGTTGCACAACATTTCGAGGGACACACGGAAACACTCTTCTGGTTTTGTTCACCATTTGCCCCGGGCCGCGCAGGTTCCCAGGAGCGAAGGGTGCCATGAGCCATCTCGGGCCAGTTGAAGCGCTCTTTCCGTTTCTGTGCCGACCCAGGTGTAATGGTTTTCGGCCCATCCCGCTACCGTGCCTGGGTTGTGGGTGTGAAGGCTATTGGCTGATCTCGTGAAAGGTCTCTCGGGGCCTCTTCGAGGCAGGTTGGAGGACTCTTGGGGGCCGTCTTTGGGCCTCTTGGGGCATTTTTGGGGCCTCTTAGGGGCCTCTTGGGGGCCTCTTGGGGCCTCTTGGGGGCCTCTCGGGGCCTCCTGGGCGCCTCTTGGGGCCTCCTGGTGCCTGCTGAGGCGGAAGGCTCGGATTGTGGTTCGTGTTCCCTCTCTTGGGCCCTTTTTGGGGCCATCTTGGGGCCCTCTTCGGCCGTCTTGGGCGCCTCTTAGGCCGTCTTGGGGCGCTCGTAGGCCGCCTTGGGGCCCTATTGGAGGCCTCTTTGGTCGTTTTGGAGTGGTCGTGGGGGCATTTGGGGCCGTCCCGGAGCGTCGGAAAGCCGAAAATGCGAGAATGCTAAAATCCTGCAAATACCGATGGAAAATAACTCAGTGTGGCCTCTTGGGGCCTTCTTGGGAGGCCTCTCCGAGGCCTCTTAGGGCGTCTTGGAGGCCTCATGGGCCGTTGTGGGGCCGTCTTGGGCATCTTGGGCCCATCTTTTGGCGTCTCGGGGCCTTCTTGGGTCATCTTGGAGGCCGCTTGGGGCCTCTTGTGCGCCGCTGAGCCCAGGGGGCAGGCGCCAAGCCGCAAGAGATTTCAGAGTCTGCGGTCTGGGCCCCTTCAAGACTCTTCAGGAATGAGGGCTGGGTTCCAGGGATTAGGCAAAGGACCTGAGGACACGCCCACTCCGTGCCCAGAGGCACGGTGGTGGATGTCGTTTTTTTCTGCATTCCAGGAGAGGACTGAGCGGATGCCCCGAGATCTGGGCAGTGCATTTTTTTCACACTAGGTTTTTCTGATTTTTCGGCCTGGTTGGCGGGCCCCCGGACCATCACAGATCGGCCGGGCTCGAAAAGCGCAGCAGAAGGATTGGGTCTAGAGCTTTGGTAGTGAGTTTCCGCGATGTGTCGTTTTTTCGCAATGCCGGACCTCAGGGAGTCTACAGTCCAGCCCTCCCCAGGGGTCCGAGCAGATCGCGCCGCATCGCCGATTTATCGGCGGTACGGGTCGATGCGGGACCCGTCAGGGCCGCTTGAGATCCGATTTGATGCGATTCAATTCGCCGTCTGGGGCCGCGATTCCGATTCGATGTATTTCAGTTCGATTCGCTGGCACCGGCCAGGGCCAGCCAGAGCCAGACTCAGCGATACGATTCCGATTCGATTCGATTCAGGACAATTCGCTGGCGATCCGATCCGGTTCCGATCCGATCCGATTTCGCGACGCGATCCAGCCCAGGCTTGCCCGGGTTTTAGGGGGCCACATGCGAACCCTGCCCTTCCCCCCCGCGATTTCTGACCCAGTAGCTCAGTTAGACTAGGATTATAATTCTCCATTATCCTCTAATCAACATGATTTAGAGGATAGTTATCCTCTAACCAACATGATTTAGATGATAATCATCCTCTAATCAACATGATTTAGATGATAATTATCCTTTAATTATCATCTAATTTCAACATAATTATGACATAAGTATCATCTAATTATCTTCTGATTATCATAATTATATTATAATTTATCTTACTTCAATTAAGTGAGGTTCCCTCCTCCGCCTCCTCCCCTCCTCCGCCTCCTCCGCGTCCTCCTCCGTAACCATGTGGGCTCAATGTAGCTGTGCAGGCCCCCCATCGGGGGGCCCGCGGGGCCCGCGGGCCCGAGCCATGGCGAAGCTGATATGGGAGTCGAAGGGCAACCTCTTGGACTGCGTGAAGGAGGGAAGCGTGCCCTTGCAAGACACGGCCTTGCTCTTCAGCAGGGGCACGAGGCAGAGGAGTGCAGACGAGGCAAACGAGGGCAGCCCCATGCCCGCGTGGGCGCCGACGTCCAAGGCGAAGGCGCGGAGGCCACCGTCGACGCCAGCACCTTCGCCAGCACCTTCGGCAGCACCTTCGGCGCCAGCACCTTCGCCAGCACCTTCGCCAGCACCTTCGCCAGCGCCGTCGGCGGCAGCACCTTCGCCAGCACCTTCGGCGCCAGCAGCGCCGTCGCCAGCAGCGCCGTCAGCAACCCTCGGCAGCATCAGGCCACGTGGGCCAGTGAGGCCAGCGGGGCTAGTGGCCGTCGCGGCGCCGATGCCGCCGCCGCTGCAGACGACCAGGGCCGTCGTGATGCAGCCCAGGGGGACGAGGAAGGAGTTGCAGCCGACGTCGAAAGCGCAGCCGAAGGCGCCGAAGGCGCCGAAGATGCCCCCTCCGCCGCAGGCGGTAGAAGCGCGGGAGCGGCGGGAGATGGCGAAGCACGACCAGAACGCGCAGCACGACGCTAAGCCGCAGCACGACGAGAAGCAGCAGCACGACGTGAAGCAGCACGACGAGAAGCAGCAGCACGACGAGAAGCCGCGGGCCCTCGTCCAGCACGACGTGAAGCAGCACGACGCGGCGCTGCCAGAAGAACCATCGTACTTCGGCGTGGTACTCGGCGTCAGTGAAGGTACAGACGGAGAACAAGAGTACACCTTAGACGATGCTTAAGAAAACCTAAGTTTTCGGCCAGAGTCCCGATTATTCTTAACGTTTCAATGTAAATCTTAAGAGTTTAATTGGAATGTTGGGTTATTACTCAAGTTCTGAGATTATGCATTTCTTAACCCATGATTTCTTAAGCATTTCGCGGGGTGTACTTGGTTGGCGGGCCTCCCCAAAGGGAAAAACCATCGTCACCTACGGAGCCGCCGCCAGCGAAGGTGGAGGAGGAAGAGAAGCAGCACGACGAGAAGAAACAGCAGCACGACGAGAAGCCCTTGGTGGAGCCGATCGCGCAGCCGACCGTGGACCAGCCCTTGCTGGAGCAGCTGGAGGGGGCGGGCCTGAGCTGGGGCCTCAACCCGTTCGTGCACGTGCCGCCCCCAGAGGAGGCGGACAGGGAGAAGATGTTCGGCAAGATCGGGGTGAGGAGCACCGAGCGCGCGATCTACAGGGGGATGAAGCGCAAGTACGGCCAGCAGTACGCAGATCTCCAGCAGGAGGCACGGCTTGGCACGGCTGGGCACTTGCAGATGCAGGCGATTCACTTGCAGAACAAGGAGAGGACGCTGAGCTTCGAGTACCAACGGATGGGGGCCGCTCTAGTGCGAGTAGGAGGCGTTGCAATCGGACAAGTACCCCTGGGCAGCTCGGCATCATCGTCGGCAGCATCTTCGTCAGCGGCACCTTCGACAGCAGCACCGACGCCAGCAACGCCTTCGACAGCAGCACCTTCGGCGCCAGCGACGCCGTCGCCAGCGCCAGCGTCAGCAACCCTCGGCAGCATCACCGTCGCCAACAGGCCATGTAGGCCAGTGCTGCCAGTGGGGCTAGTCGCCAACAGGCCATGTAGGCCAGTGCTGCCAGTGGGGCTAGCGGCCGTCGCGGCGCCAGCGCCTTCGCCAGCAGCACCTTCGCCAGCAGCGCCTTCGCCAGCAGCACCGTTGGCAGCGGCGCCGTCGGCAGCGGCACCGTCGGCACCAGCGTTGTCCAAGGCGGCCTCGTGGACAGGGCCCACGCCATTTACGCCTTCGACGACGGCGCCGTCCGAGTGGCCGCCGCGGGCTGATGCGCCGATGCGGGCCGACGAGTTTGCGGACATAAGTGATCAGACGGCCGGTCTCCTGCTGAGGTTCGTGGCGCTGACGGGCGTGAATCCCGCTGCGCCGTGGAGCGAGTCCGACGGGGGCAGTGCGGCGACGCCAGACCAGTGCGAGGTCGCCGCTTCAGACCCGTGCCAGGTCGCCGAGCCCGAGCCCGACGCTTGAGGCAGGCCGGAGAACAAACTTGAAAACAAACAAAGAAAAAACAACTCCACGAGCGTGGGGGTGCCATCAATGTCACAGACACCATCACCACCATCATCACCACCATCATCGTCATCATCGTCATCATCATCACCGTCATCATCATCAGCATCATCGTAATCACCATCATCACCATCATCATCACCATCGTTACCACTACGATCCATCGTCATCGTCCTCTCGCTTCCTCCTCATGCTCCGCCTCCTCTGTCTCTCCGCAGCCGCGTGACCTTCCGGCATTTTTGCCATTTTGGCAACTGGTGAGAGCGGCGGCCCGACGATGGCGTCAGCGCTGCGCCCGAGGCGCCCGCGACCTAGGGAGTCGCAGTTCGCCCACGCGACCCTCGCCGACAAGTGGGGCGCGAAGGCGGCCCTCAAGGGCCCTGGCTTCGCGTGGGACGGCTCGGGGTACAGGGGCTCGCGGACGCAGGCCATCGACGAGACGTCCATGTTGCCTTGCGCCGAGGTTTTGAAGACCCTCCTCGAGGTTGCACCCTCGGGGTTTCCAGCGCAGAAGTGCTTGAAGGATACCTTCCAGGAGCTGGACACGAGGCACGGCATCCTCGCGTGCGACGTGCGCTTCCAGGAGAGGGCGGCCAGCCTGGCAGCAGACGCCTGGCGGGCCATGGCGAAGCACCTCTACAACACAGCCCAGGCGGAGAAGGCTCTGAGCAACGAGGTGCTTCAGCAGCTGGTGAAGATGATCAGGCTTCCCTCTGCAGAAGATGATGGCGGTGCAGCTCTTGCCAGCGGCGGCTCCTTCGAGGGCTCGCCGTCGATCGCGGCGGCGGCGGGCCCCGTGGAGGGCGAGGCCGCCGACGTGAGCGCGTCGGCGGTCAGGGCGCTCTTCCCCCCCCCAGCATGGGCGAGGCGGCGGAGGGCGATGGCAGTCGCGAAGCAGCTAAGACCGAGGTCGAGTTCTCCGACGACGACGTGGGGCTCTGCGGAATGACGTGCAATTGCAAAGCGTGCCGCGACGCACGCACCGTCGACCTCACGGCCGAAGAGGGCGGCGGCGAGCGGGCCCCGATCCCGAACGCGGCCATCGGGGGCCAGAAGCGCGATACCAGGACCGCCCAGACGGCGCTGAAGGGCGGCAAGAGCAAGGGAAAGGGCAAGGGCGACGGGAAGGGCAAGAGCAAGAGCAAGACGAAGAGCCAGGCGAAGGGGAAGAGCAAGGGGAAGGGGGAGGGCAAGCGCAAGACGAAGAGCCAGGCGGGCAAGGGCAAGGACAAGCCAAAGAGAAGGCCGTCGACTCCCTGCACAGTCCGCATGCGTTTGTTGGGCAAGACGCGCGAGACGGTTGCGGCGAGCCTGAAGCCCCCGAAGAAGGCCAAGGCGCCCCCGAAGCAGGAGGATGAGGCCGTGGTCGAGAGCGGCAACATCACCCTGCCCGCAACGGTCACCGTGAGGGAGCCGAACGGGAAGAGGCGTGGCGAGGCCTACTTGCTCGACGGCAACAAGAAGTACATCATGGGCATCACCAGCAGGAGGACCGAGGAGTACAAAGAGGTCGTCGAGCGCGCCGCGGAGAAGATCAACGGCACCATCCTGAAGACGAAGGACGACCTCAGGATGTGGTTCGACCAGCAGCTCGGGTTCGACACGTCATGAGGGGCCTCAGGAGGCGCGGCTGGAGTTGGACCTGCCACGCGTTGGGGCGATGTGGAGGGCCCAGCCAACTAGAAAGCTGAAAACCACAATCCTCCACGAGCGTGGGGTTCCCATCGTCATCTCATCCTCTTATCCTCTTAATGCTATCCCCACGTCGTCGTTATATCATCCTCATCCTCATCTTCGCCCTCATCCTCATCATCGCACCAATCCTCATCGCAATCATCATCATCGTATTCGTCCTCATCCTCGTCATCACCCCGATCCTCATCATCATCATCCTTGGAGCTGCCCTGGCTCAAGCAAGGCGCGGTTTTCAGATCTCCGTCCAGGAGACAGATGCCCCCGAAGAGGGCTACGGCTACCAAGTCCGCCTCCCCCGCGATCCACAGGGGGCCGATGGGCCACTGCCTCGAGAAGATGCAAGCAGCAGCGCGCGCAGGCACCACGGCAGTGCCCGTGAAAGCGGAGCCCGTCGACAGCAGCGGCGGCAGCTCCAGCGCGCCTGCCGCGGCAGCGGTGGTTCCGGCCACCGGAGACACCGACGGCCCCGCGGCCAAGGTAGCCAAGAGGGAGGGCGACAGGGTTCCCGACGAGGAGGCGCCCGCGCTAAAGGAGCCCAGGATCCGCCCAGGAGCCCAGGCCGACGCCTCCGAGTGGGTCCACGACTGGATCGAATCCGATAAGACGGCCTACAACGCCTTCATGCACCGCCTGCGCAAGCAGGGCCAAGAGAGGAAGGCCAAGTGGAAGGAGATCCAGAAGCTCGGCTGCGCGATGGGCGCGGAAAATTTCGCGGGCGAGATCATGCACGCGACGACGAGGCAGTCCGCGGAGTTCAACAACACGCTGACCCGCAACGAGACGCTCAAGGAGTGGACTACCTTCAAGAAGGCGCTGGAGAAGTACGACGAGGACGCGCTGATGGCCATGATCAGGGCCAGAACCTCGGAGACCAAGCGCGACCCTGCCATCCCTGAGTCCCTGATGGTGCCGTGGCCCAAGTACTTGCAGGTGCGGCTGCGCTCGGAGAGCGAGCGCGATCGTCACGACAAGGGCTTGCAGCTCGCGGACAACGCCAATCTGGACGACGACGCCTACGACGAGAAGTACGCCGAGCAGAGCCGCGGTCACAACCAGCAGCAGGGGGGCCAACAGCAGCAGCAGCCGCCCCAGCAGCAGCAGTCGCTGCAGACGGAGCCATCGGTCGAGAAGGCGAAGATGCCCGAGGCCGCGGCCGTCGCCGTGAAGGCCGCGCGCGCGGCGCACGGATACATCGACAGGTTCGCTGACGAGCTCGAGGCGGCCATCGAGTCCAGCTCGAAGAACGAGAACAGCAAGGGGTGCAAGATCGAGAATGACCTGGACGCGATGAGGGGCACCCTTGCGGCCAAGGACAAGGAGCTCCTGACCATCGAGAAGAAGTGCGTGAGCTCGAACGGAGCGGGCATCACTGGCAAGGAGATCCAGACGGCGGCGGACCTCGCCAAGGAGATCGACGACGCGATCAAGAACGGCCGCAAGAAGCTGGCGGCGCTCAGGTCGCTGTGGACGCTCTGAGGGGCCACGGGCGGCTAAAGGAGGGGAGCGCGGGGTCGTTCGCCTTCCCCCCTCGCCTCTTCCAGAGACGAGGGGGTCGGGATGGGTCGATATCGCGCGGGGCGCGCTTGATTGCACGCCGAGCACTGGAAAGTAGAAGCCTCCTCCGCGAGCGCGGAGCGGCCATCCTCCTCCTCCACCCCTCCCTCCTCCTCCTCCTCCTCCTCCTCCTCCTCCGCCTCCTCCTCCTCCTCCTCATCTTAATCTCATCTTAATCTCATCTTAAATTTAAGATGAGATTAAGATGAGGTCGTTACTGATTGATTCAATCACAAAAGGCCCATCTTAATCTCATCTTAATCTCATCTTAACTTTAAGATGGTATTAAGATGAGATTAAGACGGGCTCCGTCGCCCTCGACGGCGACGGCGACGGGCTCCGTCGCCCTCGACGGCGACGGCGACGGCGACGACGACGGACGACGACGGCGACGGCGACGGCGACGGCGACGGCGACGGACGACGACGACGACGACGACGACGACGACGACGACGACGACGACGGACGACGACGACGACGGGCGACGGCGACGACGACGACGACGACGGACGACGGACGACGGACGACGGCGACGGACGATGGCGACGGCGACGGCGACGGCGACGACGACGGACGACGACGGCGACGGCGACGGCGACGGCGACGGCGACGGACGACGACGACGACGACGACGACGGGCGACGACGACGACGACGGGCGACGACGACGACGGGCGACGACGACGAGGAGGAGGAGGAGGACGAGGAGGATGGGAGGGATCACCCCGCGCTCGCGAGGGTTTTTTTCCGAAAAACATTGTTTTTCGCCGGCCTGGGCGTCGAGAGGCTGCGCCCGCGGCCGCGCGCCCGAGAGGGCGAAGGCTGCCCTCAGCGGTGGCCCTGTGCGGCCACCGCGGCAGCGTGGCGTCTCAGAACCTCTACGGCCCTGGGCGCGATGCCGACGCCGCATGGGCTGCCGCCGCCGCGAACTTGAGGCATGGGCTCACGCCGCTCGGCGCGGCCGTGACGTCCTCGTCGTTCCCCTCCTGGACCCAGCTCTCGTTCGTGCTGCTGGGCGTGCTGGGCTGCTTCGCCAAGACGCGGCCCTGGGCGAAGCCCTTGTTGTAGCCAGCCTTCCAGCCGCTGTCGTAGCCCTTGTCGTGGCCCTTGTCGAAGCCGCGGTCGAAGCCGCGGTCGCAGGCATCCTGGAAGTCCGTCTTCTCGCCGACGCCGCTGGGCGCCCAGTACGAGCCAATCTTCTCGTTCGGCTCGTCGTTGTCCGTGTAGTAGCCGTCGCCCTTGGGGTCGCCTTGGTAGAGGTTCTCGCTCTCGCTCCTCAGGGGCTTCGTCGCCCGAGCTTTGAGGACGTGCTGCGGCCAACCCACGAACACCATCGTGCGGCCCTTCTCGTTGAGCACCCACGTGTCCTCGAGCTCTTCGCCCCACTTCTTCGGCGGGTAGGAGCGCTCGTCCGCCTCGTAGAGGTGGATGCACTCGATGGGCACGCCCTCGAGCCACTCTGGCATCCCCTCCTTCAGGGCCTTCCTCACCTCGGGCACGCCTGGGTACTGCCACGCCCACTTCCCCACCGCCGTGAGCTCGCACATGAAGGGGATCCACAGGTCTGGGCCGCCCAGCCACAAGTGGCACTCCATCTTCTCGCGCACCTGCGAGCGCTCGGAACGCATGTAGGTGATCCCGTAGCGCGGCGCCCAAGCTTGAGGCGCCTTCTCCGTGGGCCTCGCCCCTGCCGACGTTGCTGCGGGCGCCTCCATCTCGGAGGTGTTGCTGGCGAAGTACTTGCGTCGAAGACGCTGCTGCTCCCGCGTGATCTTTGCTGCTGCTGTCGACGCTGCTGGCGTCGAAGGTGCTGCTGGCGAAGGTGCTGCTGGCGAAGGTGCTGCTGGCGCCGGTGGCGCCGATAAGGTTTGCGCCAAGAACGGCAATGGAGGAGGAGGGGAGTTGAATTCGAACGAAGTGGGTGACGACGGCGAGCGACGATGGTGCTGGCGATGGTGATGACGGTGATACTGATGATGTTGGTGCCGATAATGATGGCGATGATGATGGTGATGGTGATGGTGATGATGATGGCGACGATGTTTGCGATGGTGGCGGTGATGCTGGTGATGATGAGGGTGACGATGATGCCGATGATGATGGCGATGATGATGGTGATTGTGATGGTGATGATGGTGCCCCCACGCTCGTGGAGTTTTTGTTGATGATGATGACGATGATGATGATGATGCCCCCACGCTCGATGAGTTCGTGGATGATGATGATGGTGATGGTGATTACGATGATGATGATGACGATGGTGATGATGATGATGGTGGTGATGATGGTGGTGATGGTGTTTGTGACATTGATGGCAACTCCACGTTCGTGTAGTTTTTTTCCCTCAGTTTTTCTACGGCCTGCCTGAAGCGTCGGGCTCGGGCTCGGCGACCTGGTACGGGTCTGAAGCTGCGACATCGCACTGGTCTGGCCCGTCCTCCTCCTCCCCCCCTTCCTCGTCCTCCTCATCATCCTCGTCCTCCCCCATCCCCCTCCCCAGTATCTCCTCCGTCCTCCCCTATCCCCCCTACCCCCCTCATCCTCCTCACTATCTCCTCATCCTCCTCCTCGCTATCTCCTCCGTCCTCCCCTGTCCCCCTCCCCACGATCTCCTCCTCATCCTCCTCATCATCATCGTCCTCCCCTATCCCCCATATCCCCCTCATCCTCCTCGTCCTCCTCATCCTCCTCGTCGTCCTCCTCCGCTGTCATTATATCCTCCTCCCGTTTAGCCTCTCACTTCAGCACCGTCACCGTTTAGCCGCTCACACCTGAGAGCCCTGCGGCTGCTCCTCGGTCTTGCGCCTCTTGAGGCCCGAGATGGCCTTCGCGCCGTCGAGCTCCTCGTTGAGCTTTTGCTTCTCCTCCTCGAGCGTCTTCTTCTGCTTCTCGAGCTCCTCGAGCGTCTTCTTCTGCTTCTGGAGCTCGTCCTCGAGCGTCTTCTTCTGCTTCTCGAGCTCCTCGATGTCGCGCTCGCGGGACGACGCCTCCCTCTCTGCCTCATCTTTGAGGTCCTCCTTCGCCTTGAACTCGTTCTGCGCGGTGTCGACCGCCTAAGAGATGCGGGGCCGACGACGACGACGACGACCACCGCCACCGCCCTATCCCCCATTATCCCTCTTCTGCCTCCTCACATCAGTGGGCCCCGCATTTTTGAAGCCCGACCTTCGCGAGTTTGATCAACGCTTGGTCGATCTCGCTCTGCTCCCACTGTGGCTTGTCCGCCACTTTCGCCATCCCCCGCTTCCGAGTGTCGTTCGAGGTGGGCGGCATCGGGCCGGGTGGGCCGTCGGGCTCGGGTTCCGCGCGCTTGGGCAAGGTCGGCATTCCGACTCTGGTGGGTTCGGGCAATAGCGGCCCTGATCGGCATTCCCTCATCCTGCTCCTCCTGCTTCTCCTCCCCCCACCACTGTGCTACTACTAATATACTGCAACTGCTACTCCCTTGCACCTCGCCCTCCCCCTCCTCATTATCTAGCCCGCCTTCCCCCTGCTGATGTTGGCCCTCCTCCTTCCCCCCTCCTCCTCCTCCTCCTCCTCCTCCTCCTCCTCCTCCTCCTCCTCCTCCTCCTCCTCCTCCTTTTCTTACCCTCACAGGCTATGCGTGGCATGGCATGGGATAGCGATGGCAACCCCACGCTCGTGGGTTTTTTTTACAAAATCATTTTTCCATTTCAAGGCCCGTGACCTCAAGTGTCCAGTTCAAAGCGCAGCAGCACGCCCGTGACCTGCTTGATGAGGACGACCTTCTGCACGGTCTGCCTGTACCACCCATTCTTCGAACCCCTCCACGTGCCAGTCACCGAGCCCATCATGGACTCCTCGCTGTACACCTGGACCATCACGGGGTTGATGCACGATGTCAGCAGAGGGATGTGCTGGACCTTGTGCACCTTCGGGGTGACCGCGAAGGCGAAGACCCCAGCGCGGCGCGACAGCTCGCGCAGGCGCTGGCACGCGCTGCCAAACGCCAGGCACAGCTGCCGCACGCGAACCACCGTCGCATCGGGCGGGAACATCGGCGCGTCGTACAATAGCGCGTAGAGGTCGTCCAGCGCGGCGGTTAGTCTTCGCAACTGCTGGTCGCGATCACGCATGGACCCGCAGTAGTGGAAGACGACGTCCCTGAAGAACGGAGCCGCGCACCTGACGTTCGCCGCCTTATACGCTGGCCCCGCGAGGTTCCCCCACCCGTCCCTGGCGCAGTTGGTGAGCATGATCTTCGGGAGACGATTGGACCCTGGCCTGGCGTCGTAGAACTGCTCCCGTCGGGCGTTGATGGCTTCGAGGCGCTCCTCCTTGTTCGCCCCGACCCGGGCGTCGGCCAGCAGCGACATCATCGCGGAACCAAAGACAAGGGGCGTCACGCCCTTGCACTCGAGGAGGTGCATGATGTCAATGGGGAAGAAGAAGCGGTGGCAGAAATGCGCGTTCGCCGCCAGCGGGTGGTGGGGCTCCCGCGCCCTGGCCTTGCACACGTCGAAGCTCATCCCCTCGCCTCGCCGCCAGGCGGCGCCCTCTGTCATATCAGTGAAAGGCCGCGTCGCGCGGTTGCCGAGGCAGTCGGGGCACACCTCATTGCCCCCTGAGAAGTGCGTCAGGCCAAAATCATTTGCGCGCACGTCCTCATCGCACTTGACGAATACCAGCGCGCCTCTCCAGAGAGTGCCGTCAGAGTCGCGCGCAACCGCTCTGCCCCCGACATGGCCCGAGCCCAGCGCGGCCATGTCCTCGAGCACACGGTGCCACCAGAGCGAGTCACCCATCTGGCCAGACCGCTGCACGTAGGAGGCGCATATGAACTTGGTCAGCTTGGCCTCCCCGGCGCCGACGAGGGACCCGAAGCTGACGACATAGCACGCAGACGTCTTCGAGTAGGGCCCCGCGTCAGCATGCATCGTGAGGGGGATCACCGTCTCGAGC